TCCACCATCAGCTCCTTGCTGACGTTGTGGAAGAGGCTGTGGTCCTTGCACCACACTGCCAAGTCTCTGATCTCCTCAAGGTAGGCTGACTCATCACTGTTGGTGATCAGGCCTACCAACGTTGTGTCGTCAGCAAACTTGATGGTGTTAGAGTCGTGGGTGAACAGGGAGTACAGGAGGGGACTAAGCACACACTCCTGAGGGTCCCACGTGTTGAGGGTCAGCATGGCGGAGGTGTTGTTGCCTTCCCTCATCACCTGGGGCCGGCCCATCAGGAAGTCCAGGATCCAGTTGCAGAGGGAGGGGTTCAGTCAAAGGGTCTCTACATTGGTGATGAGCTTGGAGGGCACTATGGTGTTGAACGCTGAGCTGTAGTCTATGCACAGCATTCTCACATAGTTATTTTCCCTCTTTCCAAGTGGGAGAGAGCAGTGTGGAGTGCAATAGAGATTGCGTCATCTGTGGATCTGTTGGGCCGATATGCGAATTGGAGTGGGTCCAGGTTGTCTGGGATAATGGTGTTGATGTGTGTCATGACTTTCAAAGCACTTCATAATTACAGATGTGCATGTTATGGGACGTTAGTCATTTAGGCATGCTACCTTGGAGTTCTTGGGAACAGGGACAATGATGGTCAGCATGAAACATGTTGGGATTACAAACTGGGACAAGGAGAGATTGAAAATGTCAGTGAAGACACTTGCCAGCTGGTCTGCGCATGCTCTGAGAACGCGTCCTGGTATTCCGTCTGACCCGGCAGCCTTGCAAATGGTAACCTGTTTAAACGTTTAACTCACATCGGCCACGGAGAGCGAGATCACACAGTTATCCGGAACAACAGGTGCTTTCATGCAAGACTCAATGTTGTTTTCCTCAAAGCAAGCATAAAGGCATTTAGCTGTTTGGGAGTTCTGCGCCACTGGGCATCTCAGGGCTGGGTTTCCCTTTGTAGTCCGTTATCGACTGCAAGCTCTGCCACATCCGACGAGTGTGGGAGCCGGCATAATAGGATTCCACCTTCCTCCTATATACTGTCCTTTTTCATGTTTGATGTCTCGTCAGAGGTCGTAGTGGGCTTTCTTGTATGCGTCCATGTCCATGTCCCGTTCCTTGTAAGCGGTAGCTCTAGCCTTTAGCCCAGCGCGGATACTGCCTGTAATCCATAGTTTTTGGTTTGGATAAGTTTGTTTGGTCACTGGGGACGACGTCGTCTATGCACTTATTGATGAAGCCTGTGACTGATGTGGTAAATTCCTCAATTCTATCAGATGAATCCTGGAACATATCCCAGTCTGTAATAGCAAAACTACCTTGTACCCTAACATCTGCTTCATCGGACCACTTCCGTATTGACCGTGTCACTGTTACTTCCTGTTTGAGCTTTTGTTTGTAAACAGAAAGCAGGAGGATAGAGTCGTAATTACGGATGAGAAACTCTCTTGGTAAATAAAAAGGTCTGCAACTTTATATATCATTCTATATCAGCAAAAGCTTGAGATTTCCTTCACACTGGAAGCAGCGTGCAAGTTGTTGTTTATGAAGAGGCACACCCCTCCCCCTTTGGACTTACCCGAAGCTGCCGTCGTTCGATCATGTCGCTGCATGGATAAACCACTTAATTCTATGTTCATAGATTCAGCCAGCCCTGTTTCTGCAAAGCATATTGCAACTTTTCAAGTCTCTCTGATAGGAGACTATGTTGTAGCCCAGTGTCTCCCCCTGCTGGCATGTCTTTGTACATGTTGAAGATCCTCCTGCTGTCTATGGGGCTAGTCGTCATGATCTCTGCTGTCATCACTGTCCACATCAGGGACAGATTCTACAAACACCCCTGATTTAAGGATACAAAAATGATTTTCACTGATTTCAGCCCACTAGGGATAGAATGAGGTTTATTGTTATCACCCCCCCCCCCCCCCTCCCCTTCCTGTCCCCCTCTTGGTTCATCACTTATCACTTATCATTTATCACTTATCACTTATCACACATAACTTATCACTTATCACTCATCACTTATCACTTATCACCCACCTGTGTTGTATGCATTTCTACCTTTGTTTCTTTTTTTGTTTTGTTTCTACAAACTATGTGCCTCTCTCCTTCTTTATTTCTCTGTCTGATGAAGGTCCGCCATGACCATAATGGATGAGAGTGTCCGCCACTTTCATTTCATTGTTTTCTTTTGCTCAGACAGTGATATCTTCTCTGTCACAGTAATTAATCAGATAGGGCCGGGATTCAGGTTTCAGATTGAATCTTGGCTTGAAGGCCCAATGCATCCGTTTTTATAGCAATACCAAATCATTTCTGGGTAATAATTAAGTACCGTACTTTAATAGTCTACTTTTAAAATGGACAAAAATAGCTTTTTTAGCAAAAAATTATTTCTCAAGCAAGAATTTTGCTAGGACTGTCTGGGAGTGGTCTGAGTAAAGAGGTGAGAAGTGAAAACTAGCTGTTATTGGCAGAGAGGTTTGGAACTCTCTTTGTTATTGGTCTGTTAACCAATTTACCACCTGCATTGTCACCAGGCGAGCCGAAATTTCCACCCATGCAAACCAGCTGATTAGAAGGTCCTGTGTAGATTGTATTTTCAACCAGCAACTATCAGGAAATAACACTGATCCAATTTTTTAAAACTTTTACAGCGTTAGTTTCATGTACAATACAATACAAAACATAGGAAAATTTTTATTTTCACTGCACTGGGCATTTAAGTATTAAGAAAGGTTTTAAAAAATACATTATTTTTCATTTGTTGCTACATAACATAGCATGGATTGACATAATATAGCACAACATGACACAGTATAATATTGCACAGCATAACATATACAAATATCTTACTCTACAGTTTCTGTTTAATACCCACTATGATGAATGATTGTAACGTGTTCAATTATTTGTATGTATTTTATGCTATACTAATATTGTAATTTCATTTTCAGATAGCTTATCATATGTAACACTGTGACTTCAATTAAAATTACTCGTACAACAACTCCAAAATTATCCTTGAAAAAAAATATTTTTTAATGCAGAAAACATAACTTATTACAAGCTTGATCATAAGACATTATAAAAGTTAATACAACCAGTTGTAAAGCATTATATCAGCAGGGTTTAAGTGAAGTGTTAGCAAGTTGTCTTTTCACAAAACACACATGCGTCACCATGAACCACACGTAGCCTGCTGGTGTTACTGCTGTCAGTGTGGTTTGAGCCAGGAAGATGATGTTGCTCTGAATTTCAGACAACAGGAAACACAGGCACAAACAGACTTTTCACAATCATTTGTCTATTCATCTACCTACAGTATTTATCATATTCATTGAATGTTCCATTGACAGGGCTTCCCACAGTGAGGATGTTATATAAAATAAAATAAAAAGAAAGGCATGTAGCCTAGCGATTAAGAGCATTGGGCCAGTAACCGAAAGGTCACTGGCTCAAATCCCAGAACCGACTAGTTGAAAAATCTGTTGATGTGCCCTTGAGCAAGGCACTTAACCGTAATTGCTCAGGATAAGAGTGTCTGCTAAATTACTAAAATGTAAATAATTTACATTTTTTACTTTAAAATAAATATGTAAATGAATAAAAACATGAATGTACAAATTATGTATAGAAACGCAATAAGCAAAATAAATGATATTTTCCAGTCTGCAAAGAGAGTCATCGGTAAGGGGGAAACTCACCTCATCCACACATTAGCTAGCATGGTGGAGAAGTGAGTAAATGCCAATTAGGAATGAGGGGGGATGATTACATGGCCCAAGTTCAGACTTTAGCCAGGACACCAGGGTTAAAACACCTACTCTTGCAATAAGTGCCATGGAATGTTTATTGATTGTCAAGACACCTGTTTGAAAGACAACAATGTATGCCCCCTTCACTGCCTGGGATTCAATCTTAAGACCAGAGGATATGTGCCCCATACTTGCCCTCTAACATTATTTCCAGTAGCATCTGGTCTCCCATCTAGGGACCAACCAGGACCTGCTTAGCTTCAGAGTCAAGCCAGCAGTGGGATGCAGGATGGGATGCTGCTGTCCTGCAGATACCCTGTATATTTGTATATCCACTGCTCATTCTCTTACAACTCTATACCTATTTTGTATAGAAATGTATGTCGACTTAAAATATCATGTTTATTTCTTAATTTTAATTCACATATTGATGCCATAGGTAAATGGTGCCACCTGTATATTATTTAGAGGACGGGATAAGGATGATTTAAATGGTTTCACCGTACAGATAAGTCTACACTTTTTCCAGACACAATGATTGCCTGACTACCTCCGGAGGTGGGCAGGAAGATATGATCACATTCAGATCACAATGCCGGGGCGGCAGGTAGCTTAGTGGGTAAGAGCGTTGTGCCAGTAACCGAAAGGTCGCTGGTTCTAATCCCCGAGCCGACTAGGTGAAAAATCTGTCGATGTGCCCTTGAGCAAGGCACTTAACCCTAATTGCTCCTGTAAGTCGCTCTGGATAAGAGCGTCTGCTAAATGACAAAAAAAAAAAAAATAATAATAATAATAATAATAAAAAATGCCTCTTTTAATCATCTACACCTGTCTACAAATGTGGGCACAATCAGAAAGTGGATAAGAACAGGACAAAGGACACATGTTAGAACCAGGTATAAACAGGGCTATTGAGAGTAAGGTGTAGATTCAATCCGGACCGTGGAAGATCAGCGTTATAGTACGATTTAAATGTAAAGGTAATTTCTGATTGAGCAGACATATGCAAGGTTTACCGGGAATGCAGTCTCCGCGAACACGGGAACATTGCCTTTAAATTTAAAGAATTCAATGCGATCACACTTTGTCATCTAGGCACCATTTACAGATCATTTCCGATTGAGCTAACATACGCAGCATTTATCGTGAATGCTGTCTCAGCGAATGCAGGAACATTGGCTTTAAAAGATACTTAGCTGACAAAGGGCAATCTAATAAAATCGGATTAAATCCCAGCCTAATACAATGTTACAATTCCTTATTCCCCACCTCAGCATATAAACTCTCAGGCATGGAGGTCATGGGGAGGTCTACGGGTGGAGGCTGGTCTCCCACCATGGTGGGGCGGTTCACAGGCTTGGGGCGGTGGCCTCCCACCATACTGTATATGGTGGGGGATGCTGGACAGACCTGCTCTTCACCACCTGCTTGGCCGTTATCTTTAATCTGGAGAGTAAAAAAATACAGTAAAAGCTTCACTATGTATTTATGAATAGTGAACCAGGTATAAAACAAGGTATTTAATGACTTAATAAATTAAAACATTTCTCAGTGGCTGTTCAATGCGCAACAATATAAGCATTAAATGAACATAAGTTTACCGTTAATTTAGAATTTAGAATGTATACATTTTCTACTAACATTTTGTAGTTGAGGTACAGTATCTTACCCTGACTGAAGCATACTCTGTGTTTATCATTTCCTTTTCGCCACCTATAATTCAACAACATAAAAATCCAATAAAGATGTAAAAGTAAGATGTTCAGAGTTGATCCAAAAATATACAGTATATATGTACTGTATATACACTACATGGCCAAAAGTATATGGACACCCCTATTTCAGCCACACCATTGCTGACAGGTGTATAAAATCGAGCACACAAGCCATGCAATCTCCATAGACAAACATTGGCAGTAGAATGGCCTTCCTGAAGAGCTCAGTGACTTTCAACGTTGCACCTTCATAGGATGCCAACTTTCCAACAAGTCAGTTCATCAAATTTCTTCCCTGCGAGAGCTTCCCCGGTCAACTGTAAGTGCTGTTATTGTGAAGTGGAAACGTCTAGGAGCAACAACGGCTCAGCCACAACGTGGTAGGCCACACAAGCTCACAGTACGGAACCACCGAGTGCTGAAGCATGTAGCGCGTAAAAATTGTCTGTCCTCGGTTGCAACACACTACCGAGTTCCAAACTGCCTCTGGAAGCAACGTCAGCACAATAACTGTTAGTCGGGAGCTTCATGAAGTGGGTTTCCATGGCCGAGCAGCCGCACACAAGCCTAAGATCACAATGCGTAGTGCCAAGCGTCGGCTGGAGTGGTGTAAAGCTTGCCGCCATTGGACTCATTGGATGCAGTCGAAACTCGTTCTCTGGAATGATGAATCATGCTTCACCATCTGGCAGTCCGACGGACCAATCTGATTTTGGCGGATGCCAGGAGAACGCTACCTGACCCAATGCATAGTGCCAACTGTAAAGTTTGGTGGAGGAGGAATAATGGTCTGGGCCTGTTTTTCATTGTTCGGGCTAGGCCCCTTAGTTCCAGTGAAGGGAAATCCTAACACTACAGCATACATTTAGATTCTAGATGATTCTGTGCTTCCAACTTTGTAGCAACGGTTTGGGGAAGGCTCTTTCCTGTTTCAGCATTACAATGCCCCCGTGCACAGAGCCCTGACCTCAACCCCATCAAACACCTTTGGGATGAATTAGAACGCCGACTGCGAGCCAGGCCTAATCGCCCAACATTAGTGCCCGACCTAACTAATGCTCTTGTGGCTAAATGGAAGCAAGTCCCCGCAGCAATGTTCCAACATCTAGGAGAAAGCCTTCCCAGAAGAGTGGAGACTGTTATAGCAGCAAAGGGGGCACCAACTCCATATTAATGCCCATGATTTTGAAATGAGATGTTCGATGACCAGGTGTCCACATACTTTTGGTAATGTAGTGTATTTATATATGCATACAAAATGATGTTATCACAATAGTTTAATGAACATAATGAAGTTACTGTATTAAGAGTGATCCTGCAGAAGGAGCAATGAGCTTACCTTTATTCATCTTTTGCCAAAGAACAACGCCAATCAGGAAGAGTAATCCAACTACGATGAGGCCGCCGACAGGTATCCAGACTTTGACATAGGAGTCATCCACTTCCTCCAACGCTGGTTCTGGAAATACAGTAATCATAAAAATTACAAAGTCAACAAAGCATATAACATGCAGTCTAGTTTAGTGTGCGTGCATATACAGGTGCCATTGATGGAGGACTTAGAGTTCACTGTCTAGAGGCTGAACTCGCTCTGAAAACACATAGAAACCCATTATCGTTCGTATATTAACCTGAGTACATGAGCTAGAGTACCAATGCATCTAAAGAATTAGCCTTTAACCTAAAAACACCATGTCTAGCTCTATTGATTGATACTGTAACTGTGTCACTGTATAATAAAATAGAACCATACCTTGGACTTCTATCAAGTATGTAGCAACGTTGATGTCTTTGTTACCAGACACTACTGCACTATAAGTTCCACTGTCTCCTTCCTGTAGGTTCTTCAGTAGCAGAGAGAAGTTTCCCTCAATAATTTCAGCCCTACCTTTGTACCTTTCAAAGGTTACTTTTGGGGGGTACTTTGCAACATTGATTGTTGTGTTAAACTTCCAAAATAGCACATCAATATCTTTTTTCAGTTGAACATTTCCCAGGACATCCAGACGAACATCATGTCCCTTCTGCACAAACACAGAGCTGGACTCTGTGAAATAAACAAACAGAATACTTCATGTAAAAAAAATATGAAATAGTCCATCAAACAATGTGACAAATAGAGCAGTAGGATATATGCATTTAGCAACGCAACCTCCTAAAGGAAGATGTGCAAATTGATTGTTTTTTCAAATAGCCAAACTGGCTGACACATCGTAATGACCCGATTTGCCTAAATAAACTGTTTGCATGCTTTGTAGTTTGGGCTGGAATTTCTCTATACACCCTATTTGTTAAATGGTTTAAAGATGAACCCATCAAAAGGTCAGCAGCTTTTAGATCATCATACTCACAACCATTGTTACAAGTAATATTGTCACGCCCTGACTCTGGGGACTCTTATTTGTTGAGTCAGGGTGTGATTTTCTATGTTGTATTTTCTATGTGTGATCAGTTTGAGTCTTTGTTCTTAAGAACTGTTAGACAACCAGAACACTGGTTCGACTGGTTAGACAACCAGAACACTGGTTAGACTGGTTAGACAACCAAAACACTGATTATATTTTGGGTAACTTATTGTTGGGTAACTTGTGAGAGATGTTTCAGGACTGTATATGTGTCAGGACTTGAGAGATACCTAATTTTGGCTTTAGAGTATATTAACCCATGCCTTCATTTGGTGTACAGGAGAGAATGTATTCAGACTGTTGGTATATTGAGATGATTTGAGAGGATGATGAAGCCAATGTGATTATTCTGTGGTGGCAATCATGATCAGACCTGGGTTCAAATACTTTTTGAAAATAATTTCAAATACATTAGCTAGGCTTGATTGAGCTTGCCTGGTGCAATGGAACCAATCGAATAATTGGAAAACTGCACAGGAGCTGGTTTATAAGACAAAGATAACGCCTAGTCTTAAACTATAAACCATGTTTAATGGAGATTCTCCATTGAAAGTGCTTCTTAGTCCACAACAAGGCTTAATGTGTGTCCGGGAAACAGTACACTGGTTAGACTGGTTATAAGCAGAGTAATCAGTACAAATGATGCTGCCTGTTACTTACTGTACCTACTAATCAGATTATAGACACATACAGTATCAGTCAAAAGTTTAGACACACCTACTCATTCAAGGGTTTTTCTTTATTTTTACTATTTTCTACATTGTAGAATAATAGTGAAGACATCAGAACTATGAAATAACATTTGGAATCATGTAGTAGCCAAAAAAGCGTTAAACAAATCAAAATATATGTTATATTTTAGATTCTTCAAATAGCCACCCTTTGCCTTGATGACAGCTTTGCACACTCTTGGCATTCTCTCAACCAGCTTCACCTGGAATGCTTTTCCAACAGTCTTGATGGAGTTCCCACATATGCTGAGCACTTGTTGGCTGCTTTTCCTTCACTCTGCAGTCCGACTCATCCCAAACCATCCCAAGTGGGTTGAGGTCGTAAAAATAACCCTTGAAAGAGTAGGTGTGTCCAAACTTTTGACTGGTAGCGTATGTCTAATCAATGTAATCAATATCACTATAAAGATGTCTTAGAAAATGCTCTTACCTGTTTGATGGACGAGAGTTAGTAGAATAGTGATGGTGAAACGCACGGTCCCCATACTTCGATAAATGACTAAACCTAAATGAGGAAGTATTGTCACATAAGCCTATACTTCCTCTTTCTCTAATAGTGTTTTACACTCATATCCACAAATTTCACACAAGATTAACATTTTGTTTGCAATTCTAACATGTTTCATTGCATGTGAAATGACTTCATAACCAGTTTCCAATACATTTTAAATGTATTTAGGAACTGAAAATACACTCCGTTGTTTGTGAGAGCAAACACAATAAACCTCATTCTACACCAGTGCCTATAGAAAGTCTACACCCTCTTGAACTTTCTTCAAATGTTGTTGTGTTACACAGTAGTGTAAAGTTCTTAAGTAAAAATACTTTAAAGTACAACTTCAGTAGTTTTTTGGGGGTATCTGTACTTTACTACAATATGGTCCTCTGTAGCTCAGCTGGTAGAGCACGGCGCTTGTAACGCCAAGGTAGTGGGTTCAATCCCCGGGACCACCCATACACAAAAAATGTATGCACGCATGACTGTAAGTCGCTTTGGATAAAAGCGTCTGCTAAATGGCATATTATTATTATTATTATTATGACCCCTCTATGGAGCCCTTGACTTTTTCAACATTTTTACAGCCATGTTCTGAAATTGAATTTTAAAAAAATGTCCTCATCAATCTACACACAATACCCCATAATGACAAAGCAAAATAGGTTTTTAGAATTTTTTTGCAAATGTATAATAAAAAATAAATAAAAAATACCATATTTATATAAGTATTCAGACCCTTTGCTATGAGACTCATAATTGAGCTCAGGTGCATCCTGTTTCCATTGATCATCCTTGAGATGTTTCTACAACTTGACTGGAGTCCACCTGTGGTAAATTCAATTGATTGGACATCTGTCTATATAAGGTCCAACAGTTGACAGTGCAAGTCAGAGCAAAAACCAAGCCATGAGGTCGAAGGAATTGTCCGTAGAGCCCTGAAAAAGGATTGTGTCGAGGCACAGATCCGGGGAAGTGTTCAAAAAAATGTCTGCAGCGTTGATATCCCCAAGAACACAGTGGCCTTAATAACTCTTAAATAGAAGAAATTTGGAACCACCAAGACTCTTCCTAGAGCTGGCCGCCCTGGCCAAACTGAGCAATCGTGGGAGAAGGGCCTTGGTCAGGGAGGTGACCAAGAACCCGATGGTCACTCTGACAGAGCTCAAGAGTTCCTCTGTAGAGATGGAAGAACTTTCCAGAAGGAAAACTATCTCTGAAGCACTCCACTAATCAGGCCTTTAATGGTAGAATGACCAGACGGAAGCCACTGCTCAATAAATGGCACATGACAGCCCGCTTGGAGTTTGCCAAAAGGCACCTAAAGGACTCTCAGAACATGAGAAACAAGATTCTTTGGTCTGATGAAACCAAGATTGAACTCTTTGGCCTGAATGCCAAGCGTCACATCTGGAGGAAACCTGGCACCATCCCTACGGTGAAGCATGGTGGTGGCAGCATCATGCTGTATGGATGTTTTTCAGAGGAAGGGACTGAGAGACATGTCAGGATTGAGGGAAAGATGAACGGAGCAAAGTACAGAGAGATCCTTGATGAAAACCTGCTCCAGAGCACTTAGGACCTCAGACTGGGGTGAACGACCCTAAGCACACAGCCAAGACAACGCAGGAATGGCTTCGGGACAAGTCTCTGAATGTCCTTAGTCGCCCAGTCAGAGCCTGGACTTGAACCCGTTCGAACATCTCTGGAGAGACCTGAAAATAGCTGTGCAGCGGCACTCCCCATCCAACCTGACAGCGCTTGAGAGGATCTGCAGAGAGGAATGGGAGAAACTCCCCAAATACAGGTGTGCCAAGCTTGTAGCCTCATACCCAAGAAGACTCGGGGCTGTAATCACTGCCAAATGTGCTTCAACAAAGTACTGAGTAAAGGGTCTGAATACTTATGTAAATTCAATATTTCCATTTTTGGTTTTTATACATTTGGAAATATTTCAAAAAAACGGTGTTTTGCTTTGTCATTATGAGGTATTGCGTGTAGATTGATGAGGGGGGGAAACAATTTAATCAATTTTACAATATGACTGTAATGTAACAAAATGTGGAAAAAGTCAAGGGATCTGAATAATTTCCGAATGTACTGTGTATACTTCAAGGGGTCTTAAACTGCAAAATCAAATAGCAAAAGTATCCTTGTTATGACATTCTTAAAACAATTCCATATAGCTTAGTAGCTTAGACTTCTGTTCTGACTTTCTGGTGAGGCCTGATCCCTCGCTAGGAAGGCCTAGAGACATTAGTTGAAATGTTAATGTAATATGTAAACCCTGATAATTATGAAGAAGTGTATTGCTGTTGTTGTTTTGTTTGTTCTTAACCCTTTTTGTTCATTGCTCTAGGTACAATAGGGGTAAAAACAGAACATTGTTTGATCCATGTGTATTAGCAGTAGTGATTGAGAGGGTTTTCCTATTGGAAAGGGTGGAAGGAAACAGATATGTAGACTAGTGAAAGTAACAAAGACAGTGATAAAAAATTGAAATATTAATGGTCCTCAATATTTATCAGCTAAGGACAAATGTAATGAGTGTTGACAGTATGGTGTATGTTATTAGCAGCTTTCCGCAAGGACTCTAATAATGCAATTTCAATACAAGGTCACATTTGAGGCTGCCATCTGGTGTTCGGGTTAATGATAACCTTCCTGTGGACCCATAGATAAGTCGCCAGCCATTCTCAATTCGATAGAGTTGGAATAACAGCAGTGATTTAACCCCCTAAAGTTGATTGGCGCAGCGGTGCGTCAATCTAAGTAACATAATTTTAAAAAATCCCCATTAAAGTATGTCAGTTTAAGCTAGAGATATATGCGTTGCAATCCACCGCATCCACCTATGGTGGCTTTCCGCATCTGCAGTGGAAGGTGGCCTGAGCTACAGCGGTGTGTTTTTAGATCATGAGACATCCCGAAAATCGGCCTTCTCACGAAAACATCTGTACCGTACGGTTTGGCAATGGTTTTCTCTGTTTTGCTCTACGACCCCCAAAAGTGTCACGTAAAAAAATAATAATGGAAGTATGGATGTAAATGTGTGCCTATCCCAAAAATAAATATGTGTAAAGAAATATATATATACACTACCAGTCAAAAGTTTGGACACAACTGCTCATTCAAGGGTTTTTCTTTATTTTTAGTTTTTTTTACATTGTAGAATAATAGAGAAGACATCAACATTATGAAATAACACATATGGAATCAGGTAGTAACCAAAAAAGTGTTAAACAAATCAAAATATATTTTATATGATTTTAATAGCCACCCGTTGCCTTGATGACAGCTTTGCACACTCATGGCATTCTCTCAACCAGCTTCATGAGGTAGTCACCTGAAATGCATTTCAATTAACAGGTGTGCCTTCTTAAAAGTTAATTTGTGGAATTTCTTTCCTTCTT